CAATAGATATAAAGTGGAGTAACCCCATTTGACATACGTACAAACTACCGAACAACCAGACCACCCCGGAGAGAAATGTGGCTCTAATTTACCTCCCCATCGTTTTTCACACCAGCCTAATTGCAAAGTATACGAATGCACTGTGTATTCCCTGGGTGGGTGCCGTTCGCCATTTGAACACGTGGCGATGGCCATCTTTTTTTTTGTCAATCTCTTTTTTATTGAGGCATTAAGTTGTATGGGATACAAAATGAAAGAAGGGAAACAACAATGTACCATACATAACAGATATAATACAATACATTTTAAGACAGTTCTTAGTAACTTTGAGCCTCTGTTTATGTTAAGAGAAACACTTCTAGAGAGAATAACGTAGTGGTAGTAAAACGGTTGATATTGTGTGAAGGTATTCTGTAACTATGTATCAATCGTGCTTCTCGGTAGTCTAAGCGAACAGCAGTATGTGGAGCTTAGGTGTCTCAAATAGTGAAAATTTAGGAGATTACAGGGGGTTCGGTCGGGGGCAAGTGAGAAGCACATGGGCACTCACTCCAGCTCCCTGCGAGCGTGTAGTGAAGTTTAGGCCATACGCTTTGCCTGGGCTCGCTTTAAATGAGTGCGTTAGCGTTGTTCCCATTATTAAGTGATAATTTGGATTGGGTGTACCTAGCAGATATTAGCCTGGTTAGTGAGCGCTACCTAGGGCGGTGAACCCTTACGGTGGAACAATTAGACTTCTGGGTTGTGGGCACGTATGAGCATTGCAGTCCCCTTGTTGCATGGGTATTTTGCGAGCCTGCAGCCCTTACGGTGTGTAAGCCTACCCGGCACTCGTCGGAATGTCTCCCCTAGTGGGTCGCTTGTAACCAGGGGTCAGCTTTCTGTCGGGGGTCTAAGAGCTAAGTGTCATGAGTGATGAAGTATTCGTGGGGGATCTCAGTTCTCCTCGTCCCGGTAATCCCCAGGCTCCCGTGGGTGCGCTGTTTCCCCGTCATGGGTCGGACGTTGGCCTCCACCATGTTTGTGTCGTTGACGTCGTGTTGCGTTGCCCGGGTTAGGGGGCTCTCGTAACTGAATGTCCACCTTGCGTTACCCTACTTCTCTCCCACTCACGGTGTGTCTGTCAGGGTGCATCGGTCGCTTGTTAAACGATGTACGGGGTGGCGCTGACTCTAGGTATTCGGTTGGCCCAGCCTTAGCCCGCTTTAACTGTACCACTTACGCCGAGCGCTAGACGTGTTCGGTACGGGAGGCCTAGAGGTGTGAGAGCAGGTAAAGCAGAGTGAGCGGAGTTACAGGAAGTAAAAGAGAGGAGGGGGGGGGAGTAGGGAAGCTTGACGGCATAAGGGAAGGGACCATGCGATCATCCCGAGGCTCCCCCCTACGGGGTGCCATCCCTCTCTGCGCCCCTCCACAGTGGCTCCCCAAGGGCTCCCAAGATCGTTTGAGGCCCTCGAGTGACCTATGCAGTCCCACCTCCAGCTGTGAGGGTGGCGTCAGTCGTTGGTTGTGTCCTGGTAGTGCGATTCTCAGCGATGAATATGAGCCATGGGGTCCAGATCTGTAGGTAGCGTTCCGTGGTGTTCCGGAGAGAGGCCGTGAGTTGTTCCATGCCATGAATCTCCTCCACTTTGTCCATCCAATGGACAAGAGTGGGCACCTGAGGGGACCGCCACCTGACCGGGATAAGGAGTTTGGCCGCATTTAAGAGGTGTCTGGTCAGGGATTTTTTATAGCGCGATAAGGGTAGGGGAGTGTGGTGAAGGAGCATCTGCAGCGGTTGAAAGGGGAGCTCTATATCCATAATGTCCTTAATCTTTGCATGGACTTGCCTCCAGTACGTGGCTATCTTTTCGCATGACCACCAAATATGCAAGTCAGTACCCGTCCCCGTGCCGCACCTCCAGCAGACCTCGGAGACCTCGGGCATCATCCGGTGAAGCCGCGCCGGGGTCCTATACCAGCCAGTCAGTAGTTTATAGTTTAGCTCTTGGTGTTTGGAACTCATGGCGCTTTGGTGGGCCAGGATGTGGATTTTCGTCCACTGGGGGGCTGAAAGTGTGATGCCCGCGGCCTCCTCCCAGCGTGCCATGTGTTTCATGGGTTCCCCGGCGGATGCGGAGATGATCATTTTGTAGAGGGTGGAGACACCGCGGGTCATATGGGTTTGTTGCACGCACAGGTCCTCGAGTTCCGTGGTCGGTCTATGGAACAGGCTGCGTCCCGTGTGTGACTGATAGTAGGTCTTAACTTGGAAGTACCGGAACCTGTCCAGGCCCGATGGCACTGCCTCTCGTATCAGGTCCGGGAGTTGCTTTAATGCGTCCTCTGTACACCATTGGTGCATGAACGTCCATTCCGCCTCTCCAAACGCCTCGATATCCCGGGGAGTGAGGCTCCCCGCGAGTTCCGGGTTGTGTGTGATCGGGGTGAGCGGTCCCGGTGTGGTGGACAGCTGGAGCTTCGTCCGTATGGAGTACCAGGTCCGCAGTGTCGCCCCTATCAGAGGGTGGTTCCGAGTCCGTGAGTTAGTCAGCGGGCCTCCAAGCCAGGCAACTGCCGGTAGGGCGCCTCCCAGTTGTGCCCGTTCCAGGTTGATCCAAGCCTTGTCGGTCCTGGGCACGTGCCAGTCCACTACTCTGAGCAGGTGTGTCGCCCTGTGGTAATCCCTTATAGAAGGGAGGCCGGTTCCACCCCGGTCTTTCGGTTGGTGAAGGTGGATTTTCTTCAATCTGGGGGTCTTAGAGCACCATATAAACTGTGTGATGGCTGCCTCGACGGATCTAAAGAAGGAGATAGGCGGGTTGATGGGGATGGTTTGGAATAGGTAAAGGAGGCGGGGCAAGAGGTTCATCTTTATAGCATTTATTCTTCCGAACCAGGACACACAGAGGCTCCCCCAGTGTGTCAGGTCTGTTTTCAGAGTGTGAAGCATCGGGGCGAAGTTGTGGGTGTAAAGTTGGGTTAAGTCCGCCGAGAGCCATATTCCCAGGTATTTAATTTTATGGCAGCACCACGTGAAGGCGAATTGGGTCTTCAAGTGTTCAGTCAGCTCCTTGTTAATGGTGATGGGGAGTGCCTCTGACTTATCCGTGTTCAGCTTCATATTAGACACCCTACCGTATTCCGCGAAGGCCTTCAGCAAGTTCGGCAGGGACACCAATGGATCGGCAACGAAAAACAGCATGTCGTCGGCATAGGCCGCTACCTTATGCGTCTGCCCGTAGACATTGAGTCCCCCAATTCCCCCGTCCCGCCTGACCGCCCCCAGGAATGGCTCCAGGGAGAGGGCAAACAGAAGGGGGGAAAGCGGGCAGCCTTGTCGTGTTCCGTTTCGAATCCGGATAGGCTCAGATAGAGCGCCACTGATCCGGATACGTGCAGTCGGGTCCACGTATAGGGAGGAGATCCACGCCAACATATGCGGCCCGAAACCCATGGCCCTCAACGTTGCCTTCATGAAGCGCCAGTCGACCCTGTCAAAGGCCTTCTCCGCATCTGTCGAGAGGAGTAGGATCTTTTGCGAGGACTGCCGTGCCGCCTGGATGACATTCAGGGCCCGTATAGTGTTGTCCCTAGCTTCTCTTCTCGGGATGAATCCGACCTGGTCTGGGTGTACCAGCTCTGGTAGGATCTTGCCGATGCGCGTGGCGATGACCTTCGTGAAGAGCTTTAGGTCAGCATTTAGGAGGGATATCGGCCTGTAGCTCGCACAGCTGGTCGGGTCCTTTCCCTCCTTAAGGATAACGGTGATAGTGGCCGTTAGAAGGTCCCGTGGGAGGGCCTCGCCGTCCAGGAGGGAATTAAGGCCCGTGAGCAATTTAGGTAGCAGGACATCACCGAATTCCTTGAGATATCTTGCCGGGAAGCCGTCCGGGCCCGGGGCCTTGTTCAGTTTGGCGCCCTTCAGCGCTAATTGGAGTTCTACCAGAGTAAGAGGGGCATCCAGTTCCTCCGCCTGTTCGCGGCTTAAAGTGTTTATAACGTGATTTTGGAGGTATGCTTCTATCTCTGTGTCTCTGCGGCGGTGGGCATCATCGGAGCGGTCTGTGGGTAAGTTATAAAGCTCTTCGTAGAATCCGCGAAATGCGCCAATTATTCTATCCGGTAGCTGTGTGGTCGACTGGTCTCTAGTCTTGATCTTCGTGATGTGGCACAGTCGGCGCCTCTTTTGAAGCGTCCGGGCAAGAAGACGGCCACACTTGTTGGAGTACTCGTAGAAGAAGTGTTGGGATTTACGGATGGTGTACTGTAGCTTCCCGTGCAGAATATCCCGTAGGGACTTCCTGGCGTTCAGGAGGGCTCTATAGTTATCGGCCGTCTGGGTGGTCTTGTGGTCATTTTCCAGTTGTGTGATTTGTGCGGTTAGATCCTTTATACGCTGTTTCTGTGTCCTGCTCTGGTGTGAGCATATTTTAATGAGCAGTCCCCGAATGACGCACTTATGCATTTCCCAGATCGAAAGTGCCGGGATGTCCGGGGAGTCGTTTTCTTCGAAGAAGTTTCTGAGAGCCGTACGGATGTCTGCACGTCGGTAAGGATGGATTCGTTCATGCGCCACTGACGCCCAGTCGGGCGGAACAGTGGGGATCGAATTTGTACAGATACCGGTGAGTGGTCTGACCATCCCATGGGGCGTATGTCTGCCGAAAGGAGCATGGGTAAGAGCTCCTGGGCCAGGAACACGTAATCCAGTCTGCTATATCGTTTGTGGACTGTAGAGTAATAAGTAAAATCTGTGTCGCAGGGGTGAAGCGCCCTCCAGGCGTCCACCAGGCCGGCGTCCCGCAGCCCATTTCTGATGGACCTTAAGCCATGTGGTGAAAACGCGCTCACTCCTCTGGATGTGTCCGTTCCCGGTTCCAGTGCGACATTCAGGTCCCCGGCCATTATTAGAAAGCCCTCGCGGAACCTCTCCAGCTTGGTCAGCGTCTGTCTGAGGAATTTGCGTTGGTGTATGTTCGGGGCATATACGCAGGCAAAGGTGTATATGCATTCCGCTATAGAGCCTTTGATGAAGATGAAGCGTCCCATTGGGTCCGACTCAGTCCCCGTACAGACAAACGGAACTGTGCGGGCCAGTAAGATCGCCACTCCTGCCCTTTTTGTCGTAGGATGATTTGCAAAGTAACCCAGTGGGAATCGTGAGTCGCGTAGCAGACTACGATGCAGCAGACTACGTCTCTGGGGCTGCCATCCTGTCTCGCAGGCCCCAGGGCTCTGTGAGCGCTGTCTATGATGAGCGTAGTGGTCAGTGCAGCTCCGAGGAGCTGTGTAAACAGCGCTGACAGGGTGTCTGGGAGCAGCTCGTCTGCCCTTTCAGGCAGGCTGCGGACGCGGATATTATTGCGTCTGCTTCTATTCTCCAAATCCTCTACTTGTCTCCGGAGGGTGAGGAGCATGTTGCCCTGCCTAGTGACTGCCACTTCTGTTGCTCTGTGCTGGTCGTCACAGCCCCTCGCCACCGATTCCATTTCATCCACTCTCTGCTCCAGGGTGGACAGATCTGCGCGCAGGCCTGCCAGCTCTTCCCTCAGTGCAGCTCTGAGTTCCTGTACAATGGGGCCTGTATCAGCTTTGGTGAGCATCCTCCTGGAGATCTGTGAAAGCTCCATTCTAATTTGAGACAGGTCCCCTGTTTGGTGGGGTTCCGACTGGGAGTCCCCCGTCATCTCCGAGTCCGGGGACCCGGGCGCCATCTTGTCCACATGGCGGGTGCCGCAAAGGTCGGACGGAGTGGCGAGAAAATCGTCCATGGGACCGGTATTACGGTGCGGGGAGCTTGCCGCCGCTGCTCCCGAGGGTAGGGGCTTCTTAGTTCGCACCATCGCCGCTCCGTACCATGCTTTGTTAGCTAATTTATCCGGCCAGGGGTGCAGAGCTCTCGCACTATGCGTCCTGCACCATGCTCGTCCAGGCCACGCCTGGCGATAGCAATCTTGCCATGCGAACGCCCAGCGGTGTTTGGTCATCGAGTGTCTTGAACCCAAATCGGACACTCGACTACGCGAACACCGCAGAGTCCTCCATACTTCCACCCGTTCGTGAGGAAACACATGAACGGCCCGGCGTTCGGTAGACAGATGCCCACGAACAAGGGGATTCATACGTATCCAAGCAAAGTCTATTCTGGCCAGTATTTTTGTTTTTTTACCCCGCGAAACAGAGACCGACCGCAAGGCCAGAACACATGGAACTGCTTTCGGCTATTGCCTCGTGTGTAGTGATGTTGCGAACATAACATTTTCGGTTCGCGAACTGCGAACTTCCGCAAATGTTCGCGAACCGGCGAACTGGGCAAACCACCATAGACTTCAATAGGCAGGAGAATTTGAAAACCCACAGGGACTCTTTCTGGTCACAATAGTGATGGAAAAGTTGTTTCAAGGGGACTAACACCTGGACTGTGGCATGCCGGAGGGGGATCCATGGCAAAACTCCCATGGAAAATTACATAGTTGATGCAGAGTCTGGTTTTAATCCATAAAGGGCATAAATCACCTAACATTCCTAAATTGTTTGGAATAACGTGCTTTAAAACATCAGGTATGATGTTATATCGATCAGGTAGTGTAAGGGTTACGCCCGCTTCACAGTGACAGACCAAACTCCCCGTTTAACGCACCGCAAACAACCGCAAACAGTCCATTTGCACAACCGCAAACTCCCCATTTGCACAAGGTTGGATACCAAGCCAGCCATGTCCCGTTCCTTGTCCTCACTGATGTCATTGAAGGTCTCTTCCTCCACCCAGCCACGTACAACACCAAGGGTCCCCAAAAGGTGACAACAAGCCCCCTGGGACGCCTGCTGTGTTTGGTCTTCCACCTCCTCAAAGCCACCTCCCTCCTCTGACATATTCTTCTTCAGACTCCTCTCTCTGCATTGCCTCTCTCTGCGTTATTATAAGGTATGTTAAGTAGTACTATTCCTATCAGTTTAATCCCTGTTACGTCCCCTATCAGGGGACGTGTATATGGCATCTATTTTAGGAACTGGGAGATGGAAAAAGATGCTTGGTCGGTCCTCCTTCTTCAAATTTGGGGCACTGCGCGTGCAATCTAATGTGCCACCAGATAGGAGTGGTGTGTTAAGTAGTACTATTCTTATCAGTTTAATCCCAATGTCACGACTACTAGTGTTGTCCAGCACGCATAAACTATGTAAACATATACATAGGCAAGAAAAGGAAAATAAAAGGACATGTATGTACATAGTGGGGAATCGCGATGCAGCCTAGAACAAATCTAACCCCATTAAACCCTCCCCCCCCAATAACGACAGACAACTTAGTATGGATGAACAGGCCACAGCATTTATTATAAGATAAATAAATTACTGCATAACACATCCATAACTTTTTATTAAATCTCTTCTTTCTGTAACGAAATTGTTAGAAATAAATAATCATAAATTAACATATAAACATAACTCAACACATAGTGTTATACAGTGACCCAACCGTCTTTGCCAATAAACATACAGTGGTTCTTAATCACCACTTCCTCTCACCTCCCCCCTCGTCATAAATCATATCTTTCCAATGCCCGCCATCAGCCGACCTTATCCACACTCGATGGGCACGACACCTCAGGCAACCTAATGTTAACCGTTTGAAGCAGGGAACGTTGAGACCTGCAAACATAATGAAACTTACTCCATCCTTAAACATAACCCCTCAAACTTAATTGGCAAGGACATACCCCCGCCTCGCTGTGACTAACTAATCCTACAAGGGGTGGGTGGGCGGGAAGCTGTTTGCTGGCCCGAATCCCAAGTGGAACTGAGGTAAGACCTCCCCCACGCTAACTTATATTGAACCTAACCCCTCCCACACACACTTCCCAAGTAACTCCCCTGCATCTATCCCCACACTCCTACATGTGCCCTTGTCCGCTTAGCTGCGTTATCTCCCCAGGGTCTGAGCGTAAACCGGACCTTAGAATGGCCGGACTAATACGCTAGAGACAGAGAATGGTCAAAGGGAAAGCCGAGGTCAAGGAAGCCAGAAAATACACAATACCGTTTACACAAGCCAAGTCAGTGAAATCAGAATTCAGAATAACCAGGGAAAAGCCAAGATCAGGATACCAGGAAATCAGATTCACAATGATAAAGCACTCTCAGGAAACCAGGAACAGGAAACCACGACAGGGCAAGGTACTGGGGTGAGCTAGGGATTTAAATATCACGCGGTGGGCCGGCAGCTGCGACACCCTGTTACGTCCCCCTTATCAGGCCTTTTTTAGTCAAATGTATCGCCCACTGTCAGTCCCTTCGGGATCCATCCCTCATTCATCTTAATAAAGGTGAGGTAATCTAGACTTTTTTGACCTAGGCGACTTCTCTGACAGGACACTTGAAGCGGGGCAGGCCAGAAGTTCTATCGCAAATTGGGATAGCTCAGGCCACAGGTCAAGCTTGCACACCCACAGGTCAAGGGGTTCATCGCTCCTCAGAGTGTCGATATCTGCAGTTAAGGCAAGGTAGTCTGCTACCTGTCGGTCCAGTCTTTCTCTGAGGGTGGACCCCGAAGGGCTGTGGCGATGCGTAGGACTTAAAAAGCTCCGCATGTCCTCCATCAACAACACGTCTGTAAAGCGTCCTGTCCTTGCCGGCGTGGGTGGAGGAGGATTACTTTCACCTCTTCCCCTGTTAGATTCCCGTTGTGCTGTGACATCACCCTTATACGCTGTGTAAAGCATACTTTTTAATTGATTTTGGAACTGCTGCATCCTTTCCAACTTGCCGTAATTCGGTAACATTTCAGGCACTTTCTGCTTATACCGGGGGTCTAGTAGCGTGGACACCCAGTACAGGTCATTCTCCTTCAGCCTTTTTATACGAGGGTCCCTCAACAGGCACGACAGCATGAAAGACCCCATTTGCACAAGGTTGGATGCCGAGCTACTCATGTCCTGTTCCTCGTCCTCAGTGATCTCACTGAAGGTATGTTCTTCCCCCCAGCCACGTACAACACCACGGGTACCAGATAGGTGACAACGAGCACCCTAAGATACCTGTTGTGGTTGGTCTTCCTCCTCCTCCTCAAAGCCACATTCCTCCTCTGACTCCTCTTCCTCACAATCCTCTTCCAGCGTTGCCGCAGGTCCAGCAAGCGATGCTGATAAGGCTGTTTCTGGTGGTGATGGTGACCACAACTCTTCCTCTTCCTCTTCACGCTCATCTACGGCCTGATCCAGCACTCTTCGCAGGGCACGCTCCAGGAAGAAAATAAATGGTATGATGTCGCTGATGGTGCCTTCGGTGCGACTGACTAAATTTGTCACCTCCTCAAAAGGACGCAGGAGCCTACAGGCATTGCGCATGAGCGTCCAGTAACGTGGCAAAAAAATTCCCAGCTCCCCAGAGGCTGTCCTAGCACCCCGGTCATACAAATATTCATTAACGGCTTTTTCTTGCTGGAGCAGGCGGTCGAACATTAGGAGTGTTGAATTCCAACGTGTCGGGCTGTCGCAAATCAAGCGCCTCACTGGCATGTTGTTTCGCCGCTGGATATCGGCAAAGTGCGCCATGGCCGTGTAGGAACGCCTGAAATGGCCACACACCTTCCTGGCCTGCTTCAGGATGTCCTGTAAGCCTGGGTACTTATGCACAAAGTGTTGTACGATCAGATTACACACATGTGCCATGCACGGCACATGTGTCAACTTGCCCAAATGCAATGCCGCCAACAAATTTCTTCCGTTGTCACAAACCACTTTGCCGATCTCCAGTTGGTGTGGAGTCAGCCAGATATACCTGCCCTGACCATGCTTTGCAGACCAGGCATCAGTGGTCAGATGGACCCTTGCCCCAACACTGTGTGCCAGACATGCCATTACTTCCTTTTGCACAATCGAGTACAGGTTGGGGATTGCCTTTTGTGCAAAGAAATTTCAGCCGGGTACCTTCCACTGCGGTGTCCCAATAGCTACAAATTTTTTGAACGCCTCAGACTCCACCAGCTTGTATGGTAAAAGCTGGTGGGCTAAGAGTTCAGTCAAGCCAACTGTCAGACGCCGGGCAAGGGGGTGACTTTGTGACATTGGCTTCTTACGCTCAAACATGTCCTTGACAGACACCTGACTGTGGGCAGATGAGCAGGAACTGCTCAAGGCGAGAGACGGAGGGGTGGATGATTGAGAGGGGGCAAAGAGGACAGCAGTGGTTAACGTGGCTGAAGATGCTGGACCAGGAGGAGGATGGCGGCTTTGAGTTTGTGTGCTGCTTGTACTCATGTGTTGATCCCATAGGTGTTTGTGATGTGCGACCATGTGCCTTCGCAAAGCAGTTGTACCTAATTGGGTGTTGAACTTCCCACGACTCAGTTTCTTTTGGCACAGGTTGCAAATGGCATCGTTGTCAGAGGCAGACACACAAAAAAAGCCACACTGCTGAGCTCTGCAATGACGGCATTCTGGTGGTGGCAACAGCATGCGTTGATTGGCGTGCTGTCTGGCTGACCCCGGGTGCCGATGCATGCTGTCTGACTGTGCCACTAGCTCCTTGCGACGACCTCCCCCTGCTTCCAACTCGTCTCCTCCTCCTCCCTGTCTCCCCATCTGAACTTTCGCCCTGTTCTTCTTCTTGACGAGCGGGCACCCACGTGACATCCATGGACGCATCGTCATCATCAACCGCTTCACTTGTATCTGACAACTCAGCAAAGGAAGCAGAAGCGGGTACAACATCATCATCATCATCACACCGTACGTCCATGTGTGTAATGCTGCCTGACTGAGACATATCCCTGTTATCTACATCCTCTGGCAATAATGGTTGCGCATCACTCATTTCTTCCAACTGATGTGTAAATAACTCCTCT